GCTCCAGAGTCTTGGACCTAAATCTCTGACACTCAACTTGGGTCAAACTGCTCTGATACATGTCTTTCTCTCTTCCAATGTTGTTTTGAAATGGTTTTTTGGTGGAATTGTCCACGTTGGAGGCCAGCATTGAGGGGATAGGAAAAAGGAGGTTGAGCACACCATGTCAATGTTATTCCTTCGATTGACCCAAGTTCTAACGTCCCGAATTGTAGGTTCCACTCTCGGCGGAGCAGTTTTCTTTTTCTCATTGAACAATTCTTCTAAGACCTACGGTTTTAGCAAAGCGAGGTGTAGGCCGGAAATCGAAGTTAATTTCTGACAGTAAAATAATCCCGACGACGCCCCAACATTTAGAAGTGGCATAGGTGTGACGGTTTTTTTTTATAAAGAGCAACCAGGCTCATGCAGAGACTGGCACTGATTTCAGTGGCGTTGCTAACAATTTCCCAGAGATACACGCAGTTTTCTTAATCAGCCTTACCCCCGCCGTCTTCTATTAAACCCTTTTCATGCGGGCGACTTGATTGAATATCCCCTTTTTATTGAATTTTGAGAAAATTTATGAATTAAGAAATCAAATAAATGCAGGGTCCAGCGTGGATTGTTTTAGGACAGCTCGTTGCTTCTTTTCAGTGTAAATATTGCTTATTTTAATGAGTGTTTACTTGAAACTTTCCATGCTTGTATGTATCAGGGCAGCTTTTTGTTAAACTGGCATATTCCAGGTAATACGTATCTCGGCTGTGGAGCAAATCTGTAAAAACGTGTCTTGTTGTTGTTAGTTTTTACATTAGATGAATATTTTTCTTTTCTCGTAATGTAAGTAAACTGACTGTTTAAACAGTTTTAAAAGTTTTGGAATGGGCCCTTCCTTCCTCGACAGATGGGGCTACCTGCCGACAGCCGAAATTAACTGTCTCAGCGTATATTTACTAGATGCTAATAAGGGTAAAGTAAATTTAATTTCGAGAGTCCTCGTACTTACATACACTTTTCTCCCTGGATCCCAGCCACTTGCTGGAGTAGCCTGACTATATAACAATTTTGGAAAGTGTCATTTATCCTACTATTTCTTTTGCAATGAGGTGACCGTTCATGAACAATCAAAACGTCCCTCAGCTGCCTTGGGTCAACTCAGAGTTGACAGACCAAACATTTGTTTGTTCAGAAGAGCACCTTATGTAAAACATACTGAGATATACACAACAAAATACTATGTCGTACAAAACTTTCATACGTAAATGAGTTTGCTATGTTTTTCACATCTGAGAAGTAATGGTTCGTCCAATTAGAATCTCCGTCATTTAACGACAGCATTTGTAGCTATAGAGACTTAAAGCTTACAGAGGAGAGTTTTTCCTGTAGAAAAGAGTTAACAGCTGTTCGGAAATTGGACAGTACATGGAATTGCGTATACTTCAAAGTTAAAAGAGGAAAATTGTAGATAGCATGCAAAACAACAGTGGAAAGGGAAAACAAAACGAAACGTTAGATAGAGTTCCACTATTTTGTCTATTGTTATTCAAACCGACCTTTTCGATAAAATTGCCACTGATTCGGCATTTGATCTTTATCTATAGATTCAGAAGACCAAGTGATAAGATTACTTGTAATAAAATTCCTACATTACCTCCTTAATACTTTTAAATTTTTTTAAAAAAAAATTCTTACTAGTTTTTGAAATATCATGTAGTTTTCTTTGCCATTTCAAGGTGTGTAGCTGCCTGTTTTGTTATTTAAGCATTTTGGTAAGATTTAAAATAAAAGGCTGCCAAAATATTTTATGTCTGAGTATGTATATAGTAAAGATAATACCATGAGGAAAATACCCTAACTGATTTAGACCCTTAAAGGAGACGGCAAGCGCGTGAAGTACCCCTGTTCCCCTAGGAGCTCTCCGAGGCTTCCCTCCCCCATCCCCCTCTTAGAGACTTAGTAATTGCTTTATCGTTCAGGGTTGTTAATTAGAATACGAGTTGTCCCTAATTTTTATCAGGGATGCGAATTACCCCAGCGCGTGTGAGAATCACCGCGGAGAAGGCGAGGGGAAACGAGAAGAAAGGAGAAGAGGAAAAAAATTCTCCATTCCGTCCGCGTGTCAGGCCTGTTTCAAACTTCGTGCTACCGCCGTTCTGAAGTCAACTGACCGAATTAAATTCGACTTTAGTACGGCAGTGGCACGGTGTTTGAAACAGGCTTCACCTTTCTCGCGGGTAGCGGTTTCCTCGCGCGCTCTCACGTATTTCCCTCACTCTACTATCCCTGAGGGAAAATGAGGACTACTCCTAGGCTATGGTTCTTGACAAACAAGATAAGCTTAAAACAGATTTCTATTTCTAAGCAATGGCAGTCGGTTCTATGCAACTCATGTAAATCCGGCAAAAAAAAGAATTTTAAAAAAGCAGCGGTTATCGAAGTTTGCTTACTGAAGCAAAACTTGTCACGTTTATTTCTACCAACAGCCAGTGAAGCAAACAAGAGGAGAGCATGATTGACATAAGATAGACATACTGACTGAGGACACTTGTTTTATTGTTGACCCTTTTGGGAAAATCATTAAGACCATCGGCAAGTTTTTTGTGATCGCGCCTTTTGGCTTTACGTTCATTGAATTGCTCTTATATTATGCGGCTGTTCATTCATTCAGCTACACATCAAGTTTTCCCTAAAAGAGTCACTTAAGGCTTGAAAAAGAAAGCAGGAGTACGATGCTTTGTCCTTGTGAGAAGGAAATTGTCACAAAGAAGGAGAAGCTTCATTCAAGCGATATCATGCATTGTTAAAAAATCTTCAACAACACCAACGATGACAACAGTTTTAAACAACATTTTTAATTTATTTAAACATCGAACATTTCTGAAAACAAGGGTAAGGTTGAAAGATTTCCAGTTTTGATCCTATAGTTCCATCCAGTCCTCTGAATTTTCAAAACAGAAACGTGATACGGCAAACTTGGGGCACCGATCACAACACGAATAAATCTTGGAAACCAATGTTTCTGTTTGGTCAAGCACGACATCGATCAGCAAATAAGTATTTAGTCAATAACTCAGCAATACTGACAAGGCGATCTTGTACAAGGAAGCCAGATAGACTCCTATGACGATCTTACGTTGAAGGTTCAAATTGGCTTTGATTTTGTTTTACTCTTATAAAGGCTTATGATCATGTCTTTATCAACCCCTTCATTCTGATAGCTCATTTTTCACAAACGCCGAAAAGTAAGCTTTATCTGGGAAACTGTTGTTTAAGGCGAGAATATCCGAAAAGGGAGGGGAAGTGGGCGCTGTCATACTGAGCTGTTGCCAAGATTTTGCTTGGGTCCAGCATATGTTTTATATCATTACCTTGTACGAGCTTTTGTAGGGGTTTTTGATACCAGGAGGCCACTAAAGCTTGAAGACGTTTATATGGGGTTGCTGGCGAAACGCTTTGGTGTAACGCCAAGGCGTCATCGTGGATTCATGACAGATTCATTGAATGGAAGATTTTTTTCCTTTCAAGCCTTGTTGCTTTATCATTAAAATGCATTGTTATACTCTTTGACTACGCATTACAACAAAGATTTCGTGAGATAGCTTATCAGGGTCACCCAACGAGAATATAGTTCAAAACCACTTAAACATGGCATTGTTGAATGTATTTTAGCATTTAAACGGTAGATATAGGCATATTTTTATCCCCTAAAAATTTTTCATCAGTTCGGAGTCTAGTGATCCGAAAATTATGGGGATCAAAACTTACCTTTTCGAAAATTTCAGCCAGAAAAAAGGCTCCCAAAAATTCTAGGAGACCTTTTTAGGGTAAAAATCCGTTAAAAATGGGCAATTATACCTCTGTTTTTTAGATGTTCGAGGAGAGGCAGGCAAGCAAGAAATTTTACAACAAATGTTCCGAAAATTCTAGATCTCAAATCGTCTTCCGAACAAATATTTTCCAAAAATTCCGGTTGGGTGCCCCTGGCTTATTCAGAACGTACCATAACAAACTTGAAAAAGCACATAAGTAGGCCAGCCAAGGGGGCTTAAGTTCGCGAGCAGTGCCGTAGAACGTATTTCGAAGGCGAGGAAATGACTATGCAAAATTTCTTTTAGTGTACAGCAAAATTATTCTGTTACAGAATCAAGGGACTCAGGAAAATCGTCCGCTATAACTAAACTCAGGTACAATATTACAATCGTTTATTTTCCTGCACGTATCGTCTAGTGAGCAAATAAGTTTGTTGAAAATACGTACGTGTCAACATCAAACTAATTGTAACAGAATTTTTTTCAAAAGCCATTTAATTGTTGGATGGCTATTTAACAACATACTAAAAATCGGTCAAAATCGGTTCGGTGAAACATGACAAAATTTGGCAATAAAGATTTTTAACTTTCACTACAGGAGACCCAATGTCAGGAAGATCACAGATTCAGACAAAACATCTGATAATTGTGTGTTTTTTGTTTTTCTCAGGAATTTTTTACATCGCTAATATATTTTGGGTATTTTTGTTTTTTTTTTTTTTAAAAAAAACGCCGACTGAATGGGTCAGTGTTTCGTCTTGACGGCTTTGCACAGTGTAACAGCCGTCAATTCGATGTCAATTCCACGTTTTATTCGATCCGATCAACTACGCTCAGCACACCATTCGAATACAATACCGTACAAGAAATCCTTACAAACAAGCAAGTGTCTCTATCCGTAACCTTGAAAACTGCTAAAATATCCGTAATGCTTCCGTAATGTTCTATTCCTTCGATGTGAGTCTAGTTAAACGATCCTTATCCGAAAAATAAAGGCGAAAATAACAAGCGATAAAAGCACATGTATGCCGAGGTTTGACCTAGTGTCGAATGACAACACCTCGGCGCAGACTGGGCCTAGTGCACAGGACACCTAGCATTTACATGGCTCCCCTAAAATGTTTGTCATTTTAACCAAAACAAATCTTACTCTAACTCGTTTAGAATACTAGAATTGCTAAGCGTTCTAGATATCCTGTTTCTGTAACATCACAGTTCCTCAGGCTCCTCGTCGGGGATTCCCGGTCTATCCTTAGGTGACTCTAGCAACAGCACAAGTTTATTGACTGGTCGATCCAATACTGATCCAGTTCCGGTTTGAACAGTCACCGATCTGACTTGGCCTTCATCATCACGACGTGTGGTAAGCGCTTTAGTCATAGGCCACTTATTCCTACAAGAATTGTTGTCCTTTAATAGAACAATGTCGCCTTCCGTGAGGTTTCTTCTCTTGTGTGTCCACTTTTGTCTCAACTGTAGGATCTGAAGATATTCTTTACTCCATCTATTCCAGAACTCGTTAGCAATATGCTGTACGCGCCTCCAGAGATTTGCAGTAAGTATCTTCTCGTTGAAACTTTCCTGGAGGGGGGAGAATGAGCTTGATTTTACCAGTGAGAAGGGTACTTGGCGATAGTGGCAACGGTGAGAGCGGATCACTTAAGGTCTCGGTAGTCAGAGGACGACTGTTGACAACAGCTTCAGCTTCACATAAGAAAGTTCGCAACGATTCGTCGTTTAAGCTGTGACCATGCTGTTTCATAAGTGCTGCCATGATGTTCCGCACGGACCGAATTTGTCGTTCCCAAACGCCTCCGAAATTGCTTGCAGTAGCAGGATTTCTGATCCAATCAATGTTCTCCTTAAGCAACTCTGCCTTAATTTTCTTATCATCCATTTCTTGAAGTGCTGCCTTTAACTCGTTTTCGGCCCCAACAAAATTAGTCCCTTGGTCACTGCGAAGTTCTCTTATGGGTCCTCTACGACAGGTAAAGCGCCGTAATGCTTGTAAGAATGAATCTGTTTCCATGGAGTGGGCTACTTCGATATGTACCGCACGACTGGCCAAACAAGTAAATAGGGCTCCGTACCTTTTAACTTCTTTCCTGCCTTCTTTGACATACCACGGACCAAAGTAGTCCACTGCACAGTATGAAAACTGTGGCGCGGGTTCAACACGGGAACTTGGGAGGTTGGCCATTTTCTGTTCTCCAAAAGTACCACGGAGATGTCGACACGTAACGCACCTTGATATGAAGTGTCTGACCGCAGCATTTCCATTGATAATCCAGTAACCACTCGAACGAAGTTCGTTTAAGGTGAGACCTCTTCCGCTGTGATGAGTTTTCTCATGGGCGTGACGGAGGACCAGCTCTGTAATATGACCAGTCTTCGGTAAGATGACAGGGTTCTTAAGACTGTCTGAGAGGTTAGCCTTCTTTATCCGTCCTCCGACTCTCAACATTCCGCTGGCATCCAGGTATGGGTCAAGGGCGTTAAGGCTGCTTCTTTTCTTCAAAACTGCTTTCCTTTCTTTATCATGATGACGATCTTTAGGCACACTTCCGGTCTGGGTTTGGAAATCTTTCAGAATCTTGATTTCTTTATCGAAATAATTCGCTTGTACCAGCTTGAGAATTTCTGTTTCTGCTTGTTCAAGGTCTCTGACCATAAAGGAAGTAGCCGGGCAACCTTCACATTCACGGCTTCGTCCATTAACTTGAGGACCGTCAACAGTTAGAGGTCTCTTGTCTGCTTTACTGGCTCTCATCTTGAGACGTCGTTTGTATTCCATACAAAGCGCAACTGCGCCCTTTAGGACTTGCCACTTGGAGAATCTTTTGAATCTGCTTAACATGTTTTCATGTTCTTCAATCACTGTCGCGTTAGCGGTAACCCTTTTAACGTCAGGAGAATTGTGGTCGACCTCGTTTTCGTATGAGTCTTGTTGAGGCCAGTGATCTTCCGTCTGCCACAAGAAGTCTGGGCCCTTAATCCACTGCGACCTTTGCATAAACTCCTTAGCGTTCATCCCCCTCGATGCTTCATCTGCTGGGTTGGATCCAGACTCCACGTAGCGCCACTGGTCTGGTGAAGTGTGGTCACGGATGAATTGCACTCTATTTGCAACATACACTTGGAATCTTCGAGATTCATTGTTGATGAACCCGAGGACAACCTTACTATCGGTCCAGTAGAATCTTGGAGTCCGTCATAGTCTAACTCTTCTTTTAGCATGCTTGCAACCCTTACTGAAACGGTAGCGGCAGTTAGTTCAAGTCTTGGAATAGTGACTGTCTTCAACGGTGCAACACGAGCTTTCCCCATAACAAGAGAACAATGAATTCTTCCGTTTTCATCAACCAGTCTGAGATAAGAACATTGTCCGTACCCGACTTGAGACGCATCTGACATATTATGTAGCTGAGCAGTGGCAATGCTTCCAAAATCAGGAGGCTGAAAGTTTCTTGGGATGTTCAGCTGCTCTAATAGCGGTAACTGACTTCTCCATCTTCCCCATTTGGCAAGAACTTCTCCCTCGATTGGCTCGTCCCAGTCTTTTCCGTGACAGATCTCTTGAAGTATCTGCTTTCCAACAAGGACGACGGGCGCAATCAGCCCCAGAGAATCAAAGATCGAGCTTATAGTTACCAGTATACCCCTACGGGTGCACGGCTTGTCCTTCAACTCTATCCTGAATTTGAATGCGTCCGATTCAATGCACCATTCTACACCCAATGCTCTCTCTATTGGTAACTTGTCACTGCCTAGGTCTAGGCCCTTGATCTCCTTTGCTCTGTCTTCAGCAGGTACTGACATCATCACCTTTCTACTGTTGTTGACAAATTTCGTTAGTTTGAACCCTCCCTTTGCACACATCTCTTTAACAGCTTGTACTAGTTCTACAGCGTCCTTCTCTGTCGGTACCGAACTCAGAGCATCATCGACGTAAAAGTTCTTCCTTAATGTTTCGGCAGCTCTTGCACCAAACTCTCTTCCACCGTCTTCGGCTGAACGTTTCAAGGCGAAGTTAGAACACCCTGGAGATGAACCAGCTCCAAAGAGGTGCACTGTCATGCAGTACTCTTGAGGCTCTTGAGTTAAATCTCCATTTGGACACCATAAGAAGCGAAGGAAGTTCTGATCTTCCCTTGGAACCTTGACCTAAAAAAACATTTTCTCTGTCAGCCATGAAGGCTACCTTCTCCTCTCTGAATCTTGTGAGCACCCCAGTGAGCTTGTTTGTTAGATCGGGTCCTTGCAATAGGTGGCCATTCAGTGATTCACCCTGGTAACGAGCTGAACAGTCAAATACTATGCGTATGCTGCCTGGTTTTTTGGGGTGGTAAACCCCGTGGTGAGGGAAGTACCAGGCCTTTCCTTCTTGATGGGGTAGCTCTTTAGCATATCCCTTCTCTATGATTTCAGTCATGAATCTGACGTAGTCGGCACGATACTTTGCGTCGCCTTGGAGTCTCTTCTTAAGGCCGTGCAGGCGTTGCTCTGCTTGAGGACGGTTATTGGGTAGCTGTACATTCTTTTCCCTAAAGTCTTGTAATGCATGTCATCTCTATGATGGATTCCATCTTCTACAATCTTCAGGAACTGACGGTCTTCTCTTGATAATGCGACTCCGTGCTCCCTTTGAGCAAAGTCCACCTCAAACATTCGAGAAACCACTTGAGGGGTTAGCCGCTCCTTAATCTCTGTCTTAGCAATGATGTACCCATTCACGTTATCCTCTGTGTTGCTCTTAAGAATCTGAATACGGTTACAATGTACTTGTTTACTGCTCTTTTGGTTAACAGGACCGTTTACGTGCCATCCCAGTAGTGATCTTACTGCATAGGGTTCATTCTCATTCCCGCAAACAATGTCTCTTGGTCGCACTGCACTAGGGCAATTTAGTCCGATCAGGAGTCCTATTTCTACGTCTTCCATGTAAGGAGGTACGTGTTTCCTAACCATCTGCAAATGTGACCATCCTTACAGCTCTTCGGGACGAGGAATCTCATCGCGATCTGCTGGAATCCGTTGTCTGACGTAGGTTCTCGGTAGGGGTACGATAACGTCGTTTTCTTGAAAGTGGGAAGCCATTAGCCCATCTACCGCTTTAGTATCGACTTCTTGGGTACCATGCACAGTAGTGAGCAAAAGTTTGGTTTCACTTCCTTTAACACCAAGCCTTCTTAACGAGTCTTCCTTAATGAATGTTCCACCACTGGCATTATCAAGGAGGGCGTAAACACATATCTTATTGTTTGGATTGTCCTTGTGGTACAACCATACTGGGATAATACCCATAGCAACTGGTACATCACCGGCATCTGTCACATTGCAAATTGCAGTACACACGTTAACGACTCGCTCTTCCGTTTTCTTTTTACTGGCTTCCGGTTTCTCATGTTGGCCGTTTCCACTTTCCATTTTCACCTCTTCTGATTTCCAACTGTAATTATGGAGTGACGTTGGGTGTTTCTTTTTGCAGATCTGACAGGTTCTTTTACTTTTGCAAAGCTTGGCAATGTGTTCACAACTATAGCAACCAAAGCATAAGCCTTTCTGTTTGATAAAGTTTCTCCGCTCCACTAGCGGTTTTTTAAGAAACTCAGCACATTCGTCCAGATGATGCGCCTTAGAGCACAATGTACAGCTGATGGGGTGAGAATTTCCTCCACCTGCATTCTTTCCTGCCAAGCCTGTTGCAAAGTTGGTACCCCTTCCTCTCTTGGGTTTGCGTTCGTTCTGTTTATGGTACTTGTCAACTGCGTTCATCGGTTTACTTATGCCTTCCTCGGAATAGATTGGGTCTGTCGCTAAATCGGCTTGCTCTGATACAAATTGGCAAAAGTCATTAAAGCTAGCTGTCTGTTCCTTGACACTCCTAATCCTGCTAACTCTTTCAGTCCACTTACTACGTAGATATCGCGGCAGCCTTTCCCATAACGGGCGCATAACATTGGCCGTGTCCAAGTCGTTCATGTATTGCATGCCTGTCATGGCGTTCCTTGCTTGCTCAAGGACAATAGAAAATTCTTGTAACCCTGTTCCGTCGTTAGGCTTAACAGCGGGCCAGCTCGACAGCTTGGCGATGTATGCACTTGCAATCTTGTATGGGTCACCAAAATGTTTCTTCAAAAGCCGTCTAGCCTCCTTGTACGAATCTTCGCCTTTCATTTGTAAACAACCCTTTATCAGTTCCTTGGCCTTTCCACTAGTGTATTGATCCAAGAAGTACAAGCGCTCATTAGAATCATCTACCTTAGATTCTATGAGAGTTTCAAAGGCTGTTATGAATGCTGGGTATGACATAACATCTCCCGAAAACGTAGGTGGCTTGTGACTAGGTAGGAGACTCCTAGCCTGTTGGGTAACAATCATTTCTGAAAGTTCAGCCTGCTTCCTTTGAATGTCAAGATAGTTTTGATCTAACCCTGTACCTTCCACAGAGCTTGAATCCTTTCCGAAACTGCACGTACATTCCCTTTTAACATGTGGTAGCTTATAATCAGTGGGGGTTTCGTACTTGTCCTTATACTCTTCTTCCTTAATGGGAACACTCTTTGGAACAAAGGGTCGGGCAGTTGGGTTCATACTAGCAGCACTGACTAAAGCTGGGGTGGTTACAGGAGTGGTCGTTGAACCAACAATAGCTGAACTTTGGAACTTCACAGAAGGCACCCTTAGTGTAGCCTGATCGTTAGATTGTACCCCAGGTGAGATGGTAGTAGAAGTGAGTTTAACCTCAACATCTTCCAAGTTTTCATTCATTCCGTCAACATTTGGTTCCTCCTCGAATTTCTCATAAGTTTTTTCTTCTGCCTTTGCCTCTGCGATTTGCTGCCTAAGTTCAAGCTCTTCAGTAGCCATTTTTAATGCTTGTTTCTCTTTTAGAAATGATGCTTTAACCTCTAACGCTGCAGCCCTAGCTTTCGCTTCAATTAACTTTAACCTAGCAGATGTTACCGAGGAAAGGGAGTGCCTTGAGCGACGAGATGACTTAGATTTCACTGAGTGTGTATCACGTAAACCGCCACGTAGCTTATCTGCATCATCCAAAAAACTAATAATCCTTTGCTTTAGCTGGAGCACATCCTTATCGCGAGTGCCAAACCATTCAAGAGCTAATTTAATTTCATCATCATCATCTAAGGCCTTGAGATATGCGTCATGTGCTTCTTGCACTTTAACAAATAGCTGATCTAAATGAACAACTTCCGTACGCACTTGTTTTTCGCTCTCAAAATCCGTTAACAAAGGTGAGACTAAGTTCATCTGCTTAGTTGAATTAGCAAGTGCAGTTTTCCGATTTTCCTTCAACTCTTGAATCTCAAATTGCCTACCCCTTTCTGTAGGAATCCGTTTTCGCACGTCCATGTGAGTTTCTTGAGCCAATAAACCGGTCAGCGGCGATATCGCACGAGGTGACGAGCAGATTGTATCGAGATCCATATCGACTTCGCACCAAGTGCAAAGCTTCTCTTCATCAGGGAACTCCGTTTTCCCTTGTAAATCTTCTTCCTTGTCTCCTTCCATGTGATTCGTTTGCAGGTCAAACTGTAACAGCCGTCAATTCGATGTCAATTCCACGTTTTATTCGATCCGATCAACTACGCTCAGCACACCATTCGAATACAATACCGTACAAGAAATCCTTACAAACAAGCAAGTGTCTCTATCCGTAACCTTGAAAACTGCTAAAATATCCGTAATGCTTCCGTAATGTTCTATTCCTTCGATGTGAGTCTAGTTAAACGATCCTTATCCAAGAAATAAAGGCGAAAATAACAAGCG